GCTGCAGACTAGATGTCCGCCTCCTCACATCCTCAGCGATAGATTGTCATTGTGCCATCAAAGTCCACACTGTCATCGCCGGGATCGGATTGTCCTTGGAAGTGGGATTCGGAGAGAAAAGGCAGAAATCACATTGTATCTCCTCCCAGATCCGCACACAAGTCATGTCTCTTGTCATCTCGCTCTTCTACAGACAATACATTGCAGCCCTTCTGACTGTCCCTGTTAGTCCACAATTGTGCTGGATGGACCGAGATGGGTTACTCAGGGACACAGAATTGTTACTCAGGGACACAGAATTGTTACTCAGGGACAGACACAGAATTGTTACTCAGGGAGACAGAATTGTTACTCAGGGACACAGAATTGTTACTCAGGGACACAGAATCGTTACTGAGAGACACAGAATGGTTACTCAGGGACACAGAATTGTTACTCAGGGACACAGAATGGTTACTCAGGGACACAGAATCGTAACTCAGGGACACAGAATTGTGACTCAGGGATACATAATTGATAATCAGGGACACAGAATTGTTACTCAGGGACACATAATTGTTACTCAGGGACACAGAATTGTTACTCAGGGACACAGAATTGTTACTGAGGGACACAGAATTGTTACTCAGGGACACATAATTGTTACTGAGGGACACAGAATCGTTACTGAGGGACACAGAATTGTTACTCAGGGACAAATAATTGTTACTCAGGGACACATAATTGTTACTCAGGGACACAGAATTGTTACTCAGGGACACATAATTGTTACTCAGGGACATACACAGAATTGTTACTCAGGGACACAGAATTGTTACTCAGGGACACATAAATTGTTACTCAGGGACACAGAATCGTTACTCAGGGACACAGAATTGTTACTCAGGGACACATAATTTTTACTCAGGGACACAGAATTGTTACTCAGGACAGACACAGAATCGTTACTCAGGGACACAGAATTGTTACTCAGGGGACAGACACAGAATTGTTACTCAGGGACACAGAATTGTTACTCAGGGACACATAATTGTTACTCAGGGACAGACACAGAATTGTTACTCAGGGACACAGAATTGTCACTCAGGGACACATAATTGTTACTGAGGGACACAGAATTGTTACTGAGGGACACATAATTGTTACTCAGGGACACAGAATTGTTACTGAGGGACACATAATTGTTACTGAGGGACACAGAATTGTTACTGAGGGACACATAATTGTTACTCAGGGACACAGAATCGTTACTCAGGGACACAAAATCGTTACTGGGGGACACAGAATTGTTACTCGGGAACACATAATTGTTACTCAGGGACACAGAATTGTTACGCAGGGACACAGAATCATTACTCAGGGACACAGAATCGTTACTCAGGGACACAGAATCGTTGAATTAAAGAGTATGTCAGACAACACGCAGAGGAGTGGCAGAGGAGGCAATGTTTCAGGAGCGAGCAGACGTGGCAGGAGAGGAAGGGGTCGAGGCAGTACTAGTCGCAGCCAGAGGCCATTGCTCCCGGTGTCATCCAGCGGTCGTGTCTCCACCGACAACCCTGCCGTCATCGATTGGTTGGCTCGGTCGTCTTCCTCTTCCCAGGTCACCTCTGACACCTACAGCCAACGGTCGGTGGGTACGTCAGACACAACCGTTAGTTGGCATGGCCCGGGAGCAAGCCCACTGAAATCACGTGTCCTCTACCTGCCCCTGTCCTTTGGTGTTCCCTCACCAAGCAAAGTATCGCATGCTGTGGGCTCAGCCCCACTGTACAGTGAGGAAGAGCTAACAGAGGGCGGTCAGGAACGGGGGGAGACATCCGCCTCTTCAGCAGCCAGGCGAAGAAGTAGTGGCGAGGAGAGTGGCTCGGTAGCCGGTCTAGAGACAGGTCTGTCTCCTGACCCACACGCAGCCGAGGGGGCTAGTAGTGAGGCGGAGACCCTAATTGATGATGATGAGGCTGATCGCACTTGGCAGCCTCGTCGTCATCAGGCTATTGCTTCCGCATCATCAGGAGAAGAGGGTGGCAGCTTGGCAGCGAGCAAAACAGTCGGTGGGTTGCCCAGGAGGCAGCAGGGTCGCAGCAGTGTCAGTGGAGGCAAACGGCCACGGAGTAGAGCACCAGCTCCACTGCAGCCTACCACCACGGCCAGTAGTGGTGCCGGTGTGCACGGAGGAAGTAGCAGTCAGCCAGTGAGGAGTAGCGGGGGCAAAGTTTCCTACTCGGCGGTGTGGCAATTTTTCGTCAAGCCGCCCGAGGAAGTAAACGTAGCCGTATGTCGACTATGTGGCCAGAAAGTCAAGCGTGGCCAGGGGGCCCATGTTGGGACTACAGCGTTGCGTCAGCATATGCAGCGTCGCCATTCGGTGGCCTGGGAAAACCGTGATAAAGATACGGCGGTTCTGCCTGCCCCAGCCCCCGCTCCATCACCCGCTCCGTTACTTGCTCCGTCACCCGACGTCAATCGCCCTCTATCAGCCAGTCAAGGCTCCAACACCTCTGCTGAGGGGAGTTGTCGCTCGTTGGCATCTTCCGCTCGTTCAGATGCTCCTTCTCCTGCTACTCCTCTTCACGGATTCCGTCAGCAGTCTTTCTTGGAATCCGTTTCCAAGAGACAACAGTTTGCGAGCACGCACCCGACGGTGCAGAAGCTGAACGTCCTCCTGTCCAAGTTGCTGGTGCTGCAGTCCCTCCCTTTCCAAGTGGTGGACTCAGCACCTTTCCGAGAAATGATGGCTTGTGCCGCGCCGCGGTGGAGAGTGCCAAGCCGGCATTTCTTCGCCAAAAAGGCAGTGCCAGCCCTGCATTCACATGTAGAAGAGATGGTGGGCCAGTCTTTGAGCATGTCGGTCTCTGCCAAAGTGCACGGCAGCGCCGACGTGTGGAGCTGTAACTACGGTCAGGGACAGTACATGTCATTTACGGCCCACTGGGTGAACGTGGTGCCGGCACAGCCGCACCAGCAACTTGGACAGGTCACGCCGCTTTTGCCTCCACGTTTGCACGTCCTTGGTCCAGCAAAGATGTCCGCCTCTACCACCTCTTCTTCCGCCGTGTCCTCAGCCGCCCACCCCCGTGCCAAGTCCCATTACCCGACCGGCATATCACATGTGCAGGGCGCAACGGTGTCACGCTGTGCTGCACCTGGTATGCCTTGGCGAACGTAGTCACACAGGGGAGGAACTTCTGAGTGTAATGAACAGAGAAATCGACAGATGGCTGTCTCCGCGCAAACTGAAAATCGGAACCATGTTGACCGACAACGGAAAGAACATGGTGTCTGCTCTGCGTCAAGGAAGGTTGTGCCATGCGCCATGCATGGCTCACGTGTTCAATCTGGTTGTCAAGCGGTTCCTAAAATCCACCATCCCACTGCAAGACATCCTTAAAATGTCACGTAAACTTTGCATGCATTTCAGCCATTCCTACACCGCAAAGCACACCCTCCTTGAGCTGCAGCGGCAGAACGGAATTCCACAGCATCGCCTGATCTGCGACGTTGCAACAAGGTGGAATTCAACCCTACATATGTTAGACCGCCTTTACGAACAGCGAAAGGCCATCACCGATTTCCTGATGTTACAAGCGGATAAAGGTACTCCCCTGTGTAACTTAGATGTCAGCCATTGGCAGCTCATGCGTGACACCTGCCGCTTGCTCAGGCCCTTTGAGGAGGCCACGCTATTCGTGAGTCGGCAGGACTATGGGATGAACGACGTCATTCCTCTGTTGCACGTCCTGGAACAAATGCTGTTAACAATGGCTGGTCAGGGTGCGGTAGACGTGGCGCACAGATCTCAACGCCACATGACCCCTGTGGGGGCAGGACAGGAAGAAGAGGAGGAGGTAGAGGAGGACATTGGTGCTCAGGAATTATTGAGTGAAATGGGTGGTTTTTCCACTCAGCGGACAGGAGTGGAGGAGCAGGAGCATCTGGTAGAGGAGGAGGAGGAGGAGACAGAGGACCCAGACGCACCGTGGCAGTATGCTGTGGAGATGGAGGCAGGGAGTCCCTCGCATTCCTTGGCACAAATGGCCCATAGCATGCTCGGTTGCTTGCGTAGCGACAGCCGAATAATAACCATCAGACAGAGGGATGACTTTTGGCTGTCCACCTTGTTGGACCCTCGCTACCGTTCAAAAATGGTGGCCTTTTTCACACCTGCTGAGAGGGAGGCCAAAATAACGTACTATAAAAAACCACCTATGTAGTCAGTTGGTCTCTGCCTTTGTGCGCCAACGTCCATCCTCAGACACTGTGGGCCCTGTGCGCTCACGTTCCGCTGCCATGGCAGCAGGGGAGGGGTGGGGTGGTAGGAGCAGTGGCAGCTCCACCAGCAGCGGCTGCCTCAGTCTGCAGTCGATGATGAGTAGCTTTCTTCACCAGCGCAGTGAGGAAACTACTAACCAGCCGCAGCAGCAGCAGCATCAGGTGGACCTGGAGCAGGACCTCAAACAACAGGCTTGGGCCTACTTGGACAGCACCCTGCCAACCGAGGTAGACAATCCCCTTGACTACTGGGCAACGAAACTTGACCTTTGGCCCCAACTAGCTGAATTTGCCCTTGAAAGGCTGTCATGCCCGGCCAGTAGCGTGGCATCGGAGCGCGTGTTTAGTGCGGCAGGAGGTATTGTAACTCCGCGGAGGACACGACTGTCCACCCAAAGTGTGGAGAGACTCACGTTTGTGAAAATGAATCAGGCGTGGATTAGTCTGGATTTCAAACCACCAGTTCCTGACACAACTGACTAAATCCGCCATGAATCATGCCCCAAACATGGTATTATTTTTAACATAGGCCTCTGTATGGCCTTCAATTTAAGCTGCTTACGCTTCGCCACTCTGCCATGGGCCCCTGTACCACCTCCTCATGCTGCTGCCAGGTCCAGAGTGTGTCATGGGTCCCTGTACGGCCTCCCATTGCTGCTGCCAGGCCCGTAATCTGCCATGGGCCCCCGTACCGACTCCTCATGCTGCTGCCAGGCCCGTAATCTGTCATGGGCCCCTGTACCGCCTCCTCATGCTGCTGCCAGGTCCAGAGTGTGTCATGGGTCCCTGTACGGGCCTCCCATTGCTGCTGTCTCCATCGCCACACTCTGCCATGTGCAACTTTCAGGTCTCCTCACACTGCTGGTGGGTTCCATTTTGTCATAGGGTGCTGGCAGATTACGGGCCTCCCATTGCTGCTGCCAGGCCCGTAATCTGCCATGGGCCCCCGTACCGACTCCTCATGCTGCTGCCAGGCCCGTAATCTGTCATGGGCCCCTGTACCGCCTCCTAATGCTGCTGCCAGGTCCAGAGTGTGTCATGGGTCCCTGTACGGCCTCCCATTGCTGATGCCAGGCCCGTAATCTGCCATGGGCCCCCGTACCGACTCCTCATGCTGCTGCCAGGCCCGTAATCTGTCATGGGCCCCTGTACCATCTCCTCATGCTGCTGCCAGGTCCAGAGTGTGTCATGGGTCCCTGTACGGCGGCCTCCCATTGCTGCTGTCTCCATTGCCACACTCTGCCATGTTCCACTTTCAGGTCTCCTCACACTGCTGGTGGGTTCCATTTTGTCATCATAGGGTGCTGGCAGATTACGGGCCTCCCATTGCTGCTGCCCAGGCCCGTAATCTGCCATGGGCCCCGTACCGATTCCTCATGCTGCTGCCAGGCCCGTAATCTGTCATGGGCCCCTGTACCGCCTCCTCATGCTGCTGCCAGGTCCAGAGTGTGTCATGGGTCCCTGTACGGCCTCCCATTGCTGCTGTCTCCATCGCCACACTCTGCCATGTGCCACTTTCAGGTCTCCTCACACTGCTGGTGGGTTCCATTTTGTCATAGGGTGCTGTATGGCCTCCCATTGCTGCTGCCTCCACCGCCACACTGTGGCTCCACACTCTGGTTTTGGCCCCGTGACTGCCCAAATGAGTGAAGTGTGCGGTGATTCTAAGATCGACGGCACTCATCTGCATGTCATACTGACTGACAGTATTATTTCTCTTCCACAGCAGACTCCAAGGGCATTTAAATTAAAGGTACAGTGTTCTGCACTAATATAAAGGCTCTCTGAAGCCTAGAAACACCCTTTTTATACGTTAAATTCGCAGCGAATAAATTCGCCTCGAATCGAGTTTTTTCCGCGAATTCACCGAATCAGCCGAATCAAATTTTTAAATACTTCGCTCATCTCTAAATGAGACCTTTGCTGGAAATCCTAATATTATCTTCCATGTGGTGGATCCGGGTGTCACCCTTTTGCTCAGACCAAGAAGAAGGGAATATTATTATTAATAGTATCTGATGATGATGGTGATTATTATTCAGGATTTATATAGCGCCAACACTTTGTGCATTGCTGTAAAATAATATAAATGGAGACAATACAGCAACAACACAATTCAATACAAGAGGGTTAGGAGGCCCTGCTCCAGGGAGCTTACAATCTAGTACAGAGGGGATGGTGGGACAAAAAGGTAATAACTGCGAGGAATAAACTGGAGAAAATAAAGAACACAAAAAAGCTTTACCTGGAAATTGCTTTGGAATATCTCCCCCTCCCCTCTCTAGAATTTTTCAGATGCACCTCAGCTACTGTTGCATTTTCATAAGCTCACAGACACCAAGACAACCCCCCCCCCCCCTTTCCCCTCTACCCCCCCCCCCCCCCCCCCCCCCCCCCCCCCTCCCTCCCTCTGCACACTCGGCCTTTGTAAGAAATAAATAGAATAATAGGAACAATCGGCACACTATTGTACAAAATAAAAATCAGTTTTGGATTAAGAGGAGAAAGGGTAGACAGTTTTTTCCTGCTCCCTGCGCCCCATTAGATAGATTCACCTTCTCGTTTTCCTTGTTTACTGTTATCAGGTAGAGTGAAAGTGAAGGAATTTGCCCAATTTTGGGTTGTCACCAGAATCCTGGGAGACTCACGCCTTCCTAATATGTCAGTTCTCATCTGCATCAAAGCTTCTCTGTATCACATTTATGCCTTATGCAGTGTGTTGCTTGACACAGTAGAAGACAGAGGGGAGAATACTTCTTGAAAAAAACAAATGGGAGAAAATGTGTGGGGTCCCCCTTAAATTCCTACTGTACCCTTGATCCGAGCACAGGCCTGGCAGGGCAGGAAAGGGGGGGGGGGGGGATAAGCAACCTCCCATGCACCTTACCAGGCCATGTGCCATCAGCTTTGAGGGGGACAAGGGCCTTTTCCACAGAGCCCTGGCCTGGTGGTTATGGGGCTTTGCTGGCAGACAGGCTCATTAGCATCAGGGTATCCCTTTAAAAGAAGGGGCACCCTGATGCTGCCCCCCACCTGTGGATGAGTGAGCTGTAAGACACCCGTTCACTAAAAGGTTACATTTAGAAAAAATAAGGACACCAAACTTTTGAAAAATCCCTTTAATTGAACAAACAACAGTTTTTGACAAGTCTTTTAATACCCACCGCCATGTAGCAGATATACTGCTACATGGCAGTACAGGTGCACAAAATCACGTATATATACTTTTTTTGCATTTCCGGATGGGGGGGGGGCGGGGGCGCGAGGCATGTCGTCCTACCCGCTCCACCGATCGCAGCCCCGGGTGTCAGTCACCTGATCCCGGCCAGTGATTACCCGCTGGTGCCCGGTGATTGCAGAGGATCACCGACAGGGAAGAGGGTTACTTTGTTTACCAACATAGCTCCTCCTTATCAGCTTGGAACACTACTCTGAATGGTTGAGCAGAGCCATCAAGAGCAGTGTGCTTTACAGTGAAGCGCCACCTCCTCTAGAAAATAATTCAAAAAAAAAAAAAATCACCCAGCACACAGTTAACACTTTGATTGCCCTTAAATGTTAACCCCCTTCCTGTCCAGTGTCATTAGTACAGTGTCAGTGTTTTTTTTTTTTTTAACACTGATCACTGTATTGGTGTCACTGGGGATGTCAGTGACACCAAGTCAGTTATTCCCAGTGTTAGAATGTCCACAAAATTTAAGTTATAGGGGATATTTGCCTTTCCTGTGATAGCATTAAAAGTGTTCAAACAAAATAAAAATGAAAAGGGGCAGTGTAAAAATAATAAAACACAAATCAAAATAACTTAAAAAAAAAACAGCACCCTCCTCCCCCCATCTGCTCGAGTATTGACCTCCTCTGTAAATCTAAAACGTAGCTTGTAAAGGCTTTTATGGCCTATGGATATTAAAAATATATGCAGTTTGTCGCCAGTACACGGGGCATGGACAGTTTTAAAGCATGTCATGTTTGGCATATATTTACTTGGCATACCATCATCTTTTGTATTTTTAACAAATAATTGGAAAATATATTTTGTTTTTGTGCATTTTTTTTTAAAAAAAAAAATAGTGGTTGAAAAACTGGTACGCGAGTACAATGTGCTAAACAAAAATTGCAGAATCCACCATTTTATTCACTAGGGCACCTGCTTTAAAAAATATATAATGTTTGGGGGTTCAAAGTAATTTCCTACCAACAAATACTGATTTTTCTTTTTCATGTGAACAAAAAGTGTCAGAAAACTTTTGGTCTTCTGGTGCCTAGAAGAAAAAGTGATGTGTGGCATAAACTTCTAATGCTGGGCATAAAATGCCCCCACCATGCCAAAATGACCTTTTTGGAAAGTAGATACCCCAAACTATTTGCTGAGATCCTTGTTGATCAGTAGAAGAATTTATTTTTTACAACACATTTTTAGAAAATTACAGAAAAAAAAGTTTTTTTTATTTTTTTACACAACATTTTCACTTAAATTATTTATTGCTCACACATGCCATGGGTATGGGGGTACCACATGTGAGATAATTTGTGGCAGTCTAGCCAAGTACAGGACCCCAAAATCCAATAAGCACCTTCAGGCTTTTAAAGGGCTTTTATTTCTTTATTACACTTCCTGACTACCTATCACAGTTTCGGAGGCCCTGAAATGCCAGGATAGCACCCCCCAAATGACCCATTTTTGGAAAGTAGACACCCCAAGGAATTTGATAAGATGCATGGTGAGCATTTTGCAGATCTCATTTGTTATCACAAGTTTTTTGGAAAATAAAGAAGGAAAGAAAACAAAAACATATTTTACTTTTCTTTTTTACATTTCAAAAACTTGTGAGAAAGAATTAGATCTGCAAAATACTTACCATGCTTCTTTTTAAATTCCTTGGGGTGTCAAATTTGGTTTGGTGCTCTCCTGGCATTTTTAGGGCCTCCAAAACTGTGATAGGTAGTGAGGAAGGGAAATGAGGAAGTTACGCACCTTTATGCAGGCCATAGATGGGTCGAAAATCGGCAGATTTTTCGGCCGGAAATTAAATCGGCCGATTTTCGAATCGTTAGTGGGGTAATTGTTCTGTCGTTTTTCGGTATTTTGGCAGATTTTTTTGATCGTTAAAGTTGAAAAAAATCGGCCGATTTTCGTGGCTATTATGGGCAAATCGGACAATCTTTTTACTGATAAAAAAATCTGCGCGCATGAGCAGTGACCTGCAAGAGGAAGACAAAAAGAAGAGGAAGAAGAAGAGGAATAAGAAGAGGAGGAGGAGGAAGAAGAAGAGGAGGAGGAGAGGAGGAAGAAGAGGAAGTGAAATGAGGAAGTTATGCAGGCCATAGATGGGTCGAAAATCAGCCGCTTTTGCGGCCGAAAATAAAATCGGGCCAATTTTCGAATCGTTAGTGTGCTAATTGTTCGGACGTTTTGTGGTATTTTGGCAGATTTTTTTTTATCGGTAAAGTTGCAAAAAAAAATCGTCCGATGTTCGCGGCAATTATGGGGAAATCGGCCAATCTTTTTACCGATTAAAAAATCTGCGCATGAGCAGTGACCTGCAAGAGGAAAAAAGAAGAAGAGGAAAAAAGAAGAAGAGGAAGAAGGAGAAGAGGAAGAAGGAGAAGAGGAAGGAGGAGAAGAGGAAGGAAGAGAAGAGGAAGAAGGAGAAGAGGAAGGAGGAGAAGAGGAAGAAGGAAAAGAGGAAGAAGGAGAAGAGGAAGAAGAAGATGAAGAAGAAGAGGATGAAGAAGAAGAGGATGAAGAAGAAGAAGAGGATGAAGAAGAAGAAGAGAATGAAGAAGAAGAAAGATGGATGAAGAAGATGAAGATGAAGAAGAAGAGGAGGATGAAGAAGAGGAAGATGAAGAAGTGGAAGAAGAAGAACAAGAAGAAGAAAAGAAAAAGAGGATGAAGAAGAGGAAGATGAAGAGGAAGATGATGAAGAAGAAGAGGATGAAGAAGAAGAGGAATTCCAGTCTGGTAAAAGGGTCCCTGCAGAGAGCAAAGAACTGTCAAAGAAATAGCGGAGCTCTCTGGAGGGACACTTTTTGCCGGACTGGAATTCCTTTTATTTTTCATCCTTCTTCTTCTCCTTCTTCATCATCATCCTCTTCTTCCACTTCTTCATCATCCTCCTCCTTCTTTTTCTTTGTCATCATCATCCTCTTCTTCTTCTTCTTCGTCATCTCTTCTTCTTCTACTTCTTCATCACCATCCTCTTCTTCATCTTCTTCTACTTCTTCATCCTCCTCTTCTTCTTTTTCTTCATCATCATCATCCTCTTCTTCTTCTTCATCATCATCCTCTTCTTCTTCTTCTTCTTCTTCTTCTTCTTCTTCTACTGCTTCATCATCATCCTCTTCTTCATCTTCTTCTACTTCATCATCATCATCATCCTCATCCTCTTCTTCTTTACTTACTTCATCATCATCATCATCATCCTCTTCTTCATCATCATCCTCTTCTTCTTCATCATCATCCTCTTCTTCTTCATCATCCTCTTCTTCTTCTTCCTCTTCTTCTTTTTCTTCTTTTTGTCTTCCTCTTGCAGGTCACTGCTCATGCGCAGATTTTTTATCGGTAAAAAATTGGCCGATTAGCCCATTATTGCCGCGAAGATCGGCAACATCGGCCGATTTTTTTCCAACTTTCCCGATTTAAAAAAACGGCCAAAATACCAAAAAACCGCCAAACAAATAGCCCACTAACGATCCGAAAATCGGACAATTTTATTTTCGACCCATCTATGGCCTGCATTAGGCTATCAAAGTGATTATTCGATTGCAGGCTCC